CAGCTTCCTTGCAGCTGCTTTGGCCTTGGACTCAATGAACCACCCGAAGTTTATATTTGAGGATATCTCAATCCCCAACAACTGAAGGTGGTCGGTGTACTCCAGTGATACATTTCGGAAAGAAAGAGTCAAGGTTTAACGGTGGTAGAGCCCTGCAGCAGTTTTTTGCTGTTGCACGTATGGGCCGGCTCGAGCCGGGTTGGTACCGCGACCTCACAGAATACCGGCGTGAAGTAGAGGCTCTGCTTCTGCGTTTCGTCTGGTGAGTGCAGGTGGCCGGAGGCCCAATTCCCCCCCCCCCCCCCCATCAACATGGTAGCGGAATTAGACAATAGACTACCCCAGGAGGGTACCAGTACCCCTGGAGAATCCCTCGCTGAGCATCCACGACCATGTTATTCCAATCCTGAGCGTGGGTGCTCAGGCTGCCCCGCGTATTCTGGGGGGGGCAAAATTCCGCTCAAAAACAAAACTGCTCGGGGCAAGCTGAGCAACAATACCAAGGCGACCCCTGCCACGCTATCCGTGAATTTCTGCAACATCAGGGGACTTCACTCTAACCTAAACGCCGTCCACTACCATCTCGAGACGGCGAAGCCGGCCTTGCTCTTTTTGACCGAGACGCAGGTTTCCTCTCCGACTGATATTTCGTATCTCTCCTACCCGAGGTACAAATTGGAGCACTCCTTTGTGCCTCGGGCTGGAGTTTGCGTGTATGTTAGAGAGGACATCTGTTCTCGACGCCTCGGCAGTCTTGAAGGTTCGGACCTGTCCATCCTTTGGCTACGCGTAGACAGCGACGACCATCCGCGCGTCTACGGGTGCCTCTATAGGTCCCATAGCGGTAATGCCGAAACAGACCGACTCATCGACCACGTCCAAATGGCTACAGATTCCTTGCTACAACAGGTCCCATCCGCAGAGATCGTGATCCTTGGCGATTTTAACGCCCACCATGCCGAATGGCTCGGTTCACGTTTAACCGATCATGCGGGGAGATCTGTTTATGACTTTGCCTTGGCATATGGTCTGACACAACTGGTTACTTCGCCTACGCGGATTCCAGATGTGGAGGATCATACACCTTCCCTGTTGGACCTTCTGCTGACCTCTCATCCGGACGGATATCAGGTTTCCGTCGATGCCCCTCTCGGCTCTTCGGACCATTGTCTGATCCGGAGTATGGTGCCACTCACGCTCCCTTCGCGGTTGCGTTCTGCAGGTTGCCGCCGTGTTTGGCATTACAGGTCGGCGGATTGGGACGGAATGCGGTCTTTCTTTGCATCCTACCCATGGGGGCGGGTTTGCTTCTCGCCGGATGATCCCAGTGCTGTTGCTGACTCTGTCACTGATGTGGTGCTACAGGGAATGGAACTATTTATTCCATCGTCTGTGGTACCCATTGGAGGCAGATCTCAGCCTTGGTTTGGTCGCTCCTGTAAGACTGCATTGCGCAGTAAGCAGGAGTGTTATCAAGCCTGGGCTGCGGCTTCGGTGACTCGGGATGTAAACACCAGCACACTTAAAAAGAAGTATAACTTCGCCTCCAGGTCCTTCAAAAGAGTTATTGCCAAGGCAAAGTCAGAGCACATAGGCAGAATTGGCGAGAAACTAGTTCGCCTTCCTTCGGGAACCCGTGCATTCTGGTCTCTCGCCAAGGCTGTCCAAGGGAATTTCTGTAAGCCATCACTACCATCTCTGCACAGGGAGGACGACTCACTGGCCCAAGACGCAAAAGACAAAGCCGACCTTTTAGGCTCCCTTTTTGCGTCCAACTCGACTCTTGATGACGGGGGGAAAATACCGCCGACCATCCCGCGGTGTGAGTGCTCCATGCCAGATGTGCTATTCTCACAGCGCTCAGTTCGCAAAGCACTTCTCTCCCTGGACATCCAGAAGTCGAGTGGGCCTGACGGAATCCCCCCAATTGTGCTGAGGACGTGTGCTCCGGAGTTGGCACCGGTCCTAACGCGTCTTTTCCGGTACTCCTACTCCCAAGGCGTAGTCCCGAATTCATGGAAGACAGCTTTTGTCCACCCGATCCCTAAAAAAGGCGACCGCTCAGACCCGTCCAACTATAGGCCTATCGCGATCACCTCCTTGTTCTCCAAAATAATGGAATCCATTATTAACTGCCAGCTCATCCGGTACCTTGAGGATCACCAGCTGATTAGTGACCGCCAATACGGTTTTCGTCGGGGTCGATCAGCTGGTGATCTTCTGGTCTACCTGACCCATAGATGGGCGAAGGCAGTAGAGTCCAAGGGGGAGGCGTTGGCCGTTAGTCTGGACATTGCGAAGGCCTTTGATCGGGTTTGGCACAAAGCGCTTCTTTCGAAGCTGCCTTCCTATGGGCTTCCCGAGAAATTGTGCAATTGGATCACCAGCTTTCTTGCAGATCGGAGCATCAAGGTCGTTGTAGACGGTGCATGTTCTGACTACAAGCCTATTAACGCTGGTGTTCCACAAGGCTGTGTGCTATCACCAACGCTGTTTCTTCTGCATATCAATGATATGTTGCTAACTGGTAACATTCATTGCTATGCGGATGACAGCACTGGTGATGCTCTATACACCGGCCGGGCCAATATTTCTCGGGAAAACGTCGCCGAGTACCGGAACAAACTTGTGTCTGAAGTCGAGTCTTTGCTGGACAAAGTCTCGGATTGGGGGCGACTAAATCTAGTCCAGTTTAATCCTCAGAAGACACAAGTTTGCGCGTTTACCGCTAAAAAGAACCCCTTTGTCGTATCTCCTCAGTTTCAAGGCACTCCCCTTCTTGCCTCAGCCAGTATCGGTATCCTCGGAGTCGACATATCGAGTGACGTGCAGTTTCGTGGTCACTTGGAAGAGAAGGCCAAATTGGCCTCTAAAAAGCTTGGCGTGCTCAGCAGAGCGGGACAGTATTTCATGCCGGCACACCGCCTGCAACTTTACAAGGCGCAGGTTCGGCCTCACATGGAATACTGTTCCCATCTCTGGGCAGGGGCTCCCCAGTGCCAGCTCCTTCCACTTGACCACATCCAGCGCAGAGCGGCTCGAATCGTCGACGACCGAGCCCTTTCCGATCGGCTCGATGCATTGGCACTGCGAAGAGATGTTGCATCTCTTTGCATTTTCTTTCGCATCTACCATGGGGAGTGCTCTGAGGAATTGTTCGGATTAATCCCAGCCGCCAAATTTCACGAACGCACATCGCGGCAGAACTCCCGATACCATCCACACCATCTGGATGATTGGCGGTCCACCACTGTGCGATTTAGAAGATGTTTTCTTCCTCGCACAACTTCCTTGTGGAATAGTTTACCACCAGGGATTTTTCCGGACCGATACGACTTAGGGACCTTCAAGAAAAGAGCCTACTCCTTTTTAAAAGGCCGGCAACGCATCTGCAATTCCCCTGGTGTTGCGGTTGTTCATGGGCGGCGGTAGTCACTTACCATCAGGTGAGCCGCATGCTCGTTTGCCCCCTCTCCTATAAAAAAAAAAAAAAAAAAGGTGAGCTGGCTCCTTTCTGCAGTGAAAAAACACGCTTGTGTATTGGAGGCATTGAATTTCACAAGATTGGCATCGCCCCATTCGGAGACTGCCTGTAGTGTGAGATCCACACGCTCTACCATAGATTTGAGCTCGACTAGCCTGAGGACTTGGTTGGTATCTCTCCACAACTGTGCTATCGCCTGCATACCCATATTCCTACGATATACGATACCGGGCATAAGCAGATCATTAATATGCAACAGGAAGAGAGTTGCGGAGAGGACGGACCCCTGAGGAACACCGGCGTTAGTCGCAACAGGATCGGATGAGCCATCGACAACGACACGGAGAGACCGTTCACTTAGAGTCCTTTACCCAGTCAATCACCAGGGGATAAGCCGTACGCTGGAAGCTTATGTAAAAGGCTAGTGTGCCAAACTCTTTTATTACCTCAATTACCTCCATACTCTTGCAGAGTATGGAGGTAATTGAGATTGGCCGATAATTGGCAGGGTCGGCACGGCTGCCTTTTTGGAACAGGCTGCACGTTGGCCAGCTTCCAGGATTTTGGCACTATTCCAATCCTAAATGAGAGGCGGAACAAGCGTGTCAGCACAAGAGACAACTCAGGTACACAAGCCTGTAGAACTATAGCTGGTATACCATCTGGTCCACTAGCTTCATTCACGTCTAGACACCGCAAGGTTTTAAGAACCTCCTTATTTGTGATACGGACCTTGCACATAGAGGTCCCGCAGTATCGAAATCTCGAGTAAAATCGTGTATCGTTCTTCCGTGTAATCTAAATTATAGCTACGCTTGGAATAAATACTACGCGAGTAGCAGAAAGAATGATGAACAAATGTGATGTGTGACCGGCAAATAAATATTGTTCTATTATGGTACGATGTAAAAGGTTATATCATGTCCACTCGCTTTTTTTCGTATTATGGTGTCAAAAATAGTCGACAACAGGTGACAATGTCGAGTTGTTTGCGAGGTTTGAAGTTTTATTCGCTATATTGGTTTTATTTTGTGTAGGTATTGACTTCTTTATAATATTCGTTATTTTGAAACACAAAATTAGCTCGAAACTGACACAGACAGTGATTAGTAAAGAAATATAATAAGACGCCATTACAATATTTTTGATTTAGGAATAGACGTTAAGCGAATTAACTATAAAAAATGGCTAGCAAGTCAGCTTTACGTGTACAAGAAAAACTTCTTCTTAAGCAATTTAGCAATCTCGGAAACGCAAAGTGCATGTCAATAAAACCAAAAATATAAACACATAAAAATGTTTTAATTTTGCTGCTATTCAATATTATTTCGATCGCAAACACCTCGCAAATTTGAGAGTGCTTTTTTCATCGGTCTGGTTATTCTACAACTGTTTATAAATACAACATTTTGAGGTATCCCTACGTTACCTCGACACGGTTTAAAATTATTTATTACGTACGTTACGTTTACGTTACTTTTTTTTTCTTTATTCATAGAGATTGTTTTACTTGCAATCAACTTACCTGTATAAGAGAAGCGGCAGCTAAGCTATTGGCCTGTTCATATTTCTGCTTGTGTAAAGCAGCGAACTCCGAATAGTAGGCTGCTGCCTCAGTCATCCCGCGATGAATATATTCCTGGGCTTTTTGATAACTCCTAAAATATTAGTATTATTGTGAATAAGCTAAACCCTAAGGTTTGGCTTATTCACAATAAGGGTCTAAACCCTTTGACTAAAATCCTAATATGCATCGACATGGAAATTATAACGGAATAACAATTTTTATAATATCATCATCATTACAGCCCATCACCATAGGTTTACCCCATAGATAGTCTTGTAGGGAGGTAACTTTGCCATATTTGCTGCATTTGGCAGGTGATTGGCAACCGCAGTTTTTTATAATTTTGAGTTGTTACCAGAAAGATACTGTCCATATCTTGTTTCATATTACTCCGTCGCCTGTTACGACACCCATGGGTAGACAATGGGTAATTGACTCTCTTACGCGCCACTAAACGACGAGTTTATTTAATGTTATTATTTTAGTCTATTTAAATAAAATAAACATATGTATAAAGGTTGCAGGTTTTTCAAACGACTTCAAAAAAGGAGGAGGTTCTCAATTCGTCGGAATCTTTTTTTTATGTATGTATGTTCACCGATTACTCGAAGATGCCTGAACCGATTTGAGAAATTCTTTTCTTGTATTAAAGGATTTACTTCCCAGGTAGTACTATTTAAATTTTATCGAAATCGGTCGAGGGGTTATAAAAAATCAACAATAAATTATATTCATATTGAAGTCGTTTGTACAAAATTTTTAATTCACCACTTGACAACATTGACCTACTAATTGGACGGCATAAGTACGTGTATAAAAATATGAAAAAATATAACATCCCAATTCAAACCATAATTTAAGCCTATTAACTTCGACTAGAGGCCGCACAATTTTTACCTTACGCAGCTTGTAACGAAAATTATCAGTATGGTTATTTGTTTTTACAATTAATATGAATTTAAATTAAATACTATGTACCTAAGTAAAATATTACTTTTAAATGATTAAATATTAATAGTACTTATCGAAATTATGATACACCATCCTCTTTTCTGACTTTACTAAAGTAGTTTTTGCACGTTTTCAAAATACAGTACGGCATTATAGACGTGTATTAAGTCAGTCGACAAAACGAAGACTAGCGAGCGATTGGAACTCTTTTGGCTCGGACACTTTTGAGTGCGGACCCGAGGTCCGTTTAATAGCAGGTCATCATTATCATCATCATCATTACAGCCCTTCACAAGTCTACTGCTGAACATAGTATAGGCCTGACTCAGAAATCTATCCAACTACAGTAGTACAGGATGACATTATGTAGTCGAAACACTTTAAGAAAGCGTACGGTATCAACATCAATATCGTATACAGGCAGGAGCAAAATGATCAATGATCTCGATTATGTAGCTCTACGACGAACACAACAATAAGATGAAGAACATCTCCAAACGTCCATATCACATCTAGATCTAGGCTGGTAGTTGTTGGGAATACTACACTACTAAGAGTTGTAAAAATATATATTTACGTAGGACAATTTGACGGGTCTGTGGCGCAGTGGTTAAGCAACAAGTTGATGCTCAGTGCCTGAGAGCCACAGGTTCAAACTCCGCACGGAACAAGTATTTTTGTATGGATATCAAATATTTGTTTCGGGATTTTTTTTATAGGAGAGGGGGCAAACGAGCATGCGGCTCAACAACTGCAACACCAGGGAAATTGCAGATGCGTTGCCGACCTTTAAATGATGTTTGTGAAATTTATGTAACTGCCTCTACGATACAGGGGAAAATTCTAGTGCAGGAGTACATTGAGTTATATGTACTACGTACTAGAGAAGCTATACCAAACAAAAAATGTGCGCTACTCTATGTCTTCGCGCATGCGCGGGAGATAGTAGAGTCGCGCATGCGCAGTTTTTGTCATCATAGATTATACGTAGGTAGAATGATCAGTATGTAATAAGTAATTGTTTATTTAGATTGTATTGTTATTTATATCGAGTACAATTTTTTTAATTGTTATTTATTTTGCATATGTGTTAATTTAATATAATATAATATATATTATGTCAGAATTATATTTTAGTGATATTTTATTTTAAAAAGTAAATATGTAAAATATAAAAATATACATTTATTATCGAAGATCATTATTATTACTTTTCTAGCATTCTCTTACGTATTTATACGCAGCTGGAGAATAATTAAAGGTGCATGCAGTATATAATAAATAATGCGTGCTCTGTTTATTCTTTTTCATTAAAGATCATTAAAAAAAAACTAGTTATTTGGGAAGCCTGTAAAAATTCTAGCGTTACAATATTAATAAACGGCCATATACTAGTATGACTCGCGCGCCGAAGGTTCCGCCTCTCTTATGTCTCGTAAATATACTGAACATTACAAAAAATCGTTCATATATATAAATAATATAATTACGTTATCATATATCCACAGTAGAACCAGAGTAACTGACATAGCCCGAAGAATTAGTATGGTGAAGTGGCAATGGGCCGGCCATATGGCTTGAAGAATCGACAACCGATGGGGAAGAAACAGGAAGAAAGGTTCTCGACTGGCAACTTCGTACCGGCAGGCGAAATGTAGGGCGTCCCCCCACTAGATGTGTGACGATCTGGTCATGCAAGACGTGAATGGATTCAGGTGGCTCTGGATCGTGCTTTACGGCATTCTTTGGGGGAGGCCTATGTTTGTCAGTGGACTTGTGAAGGGCTGTAATAATGATTATGATGATGATGATGGTACTGCAGATTTCTTTAAGTACACTCTTCCTGTTTTTGTGGTGTATTTGTAGTTGCCTTTTAAATGCACGGAACATATACTTGAATAATTTGACGGTAACCACGTTTCTTCGCTGCAATTTGTCTGAACAAATTTGATCCATGATTCTTTTGTTTCATGACACGGCTGAGAAAATATTAATTTTAATGCATTAACATTTCCTACCGTGATTATATATTAATATTTTACTGGTCATATTTACTTAACATTATATGTCGATAGTGTCATGTCTGTGCATAAAAATGTTTTAATCTTTGACATTCACGTGTATGTTGCAGTTGATAAAATATAATTAAATTAACCATGTTTTAAAGATAATAATATGTTGAACTTACCGGTGAAAAGTCACTCCTTGACTTTTACTTATGTTTCTCGAGTTGTTTGAACAGTATCCCAATGCTTATGAAGGCATAATTAATTTAAAAAAATTCTTCACTCAAACGTCTCACGTTCCAGCAACCGCTTGACACAAACTAAGTGAGTTGGAGAGCGCGCACTCAAACTCTTGTTACAAACAATCGAGTTGAGGCGTCTCCTCTAGTACGTAGTACATATAACTCAATGGCAGGAGTATTTTTTTAATTGTTCTAATATGCAAGTCCAAATTCGGCCAAGAATTAAATTAAATCGACATATTCAAACGGAAGCTCAAAGACGCTCAAGAAATTATTGGAGATATAGACTTAATGACATTTACCTGATATATAATAGATTCATTCTTTTTCCGTCTTGGTTACTAATTGTATTTGCTACAAAGTTTAAAATTCGATATAATAATACTCACAGGTTTCTTCTAGCGAGATGCTTGTCAGCTTCATCGCGGAGTTTTTCGACTATGGACATGTCTACTTTACCCACACGCGGTAAAAATGGCCATTCAACTTCAGAAAGGGCCTGTAAATTAAAAAAAATGGGTAATCCAAAACTGCAGACCTCGAATGCTCATGTAATTTTTTGAATAATCAAATTAAATTTATTAATTACCGAAACACATATATCGTTTAAAGCTACAAAAAAATGTTTCTGTTTAATTAACACGAATTTTTTTATGACCGCTTGATATCGGTGATTCATATTTTGTTACCCAAAAATAAATTGTCAAATAATTAATAAAATAAAAAAATATATGAATGAACGGGACGGTTTAGAATAGTGAAATTCACTTTGAACAGTAGTAATGTAGCTTGTGGAGTTCCGGACTTTTCCATTATATTAAGGAACATTGTTGAATTCATGGCCTACTGATATTTTGTTGTAAAATTGATTTAATGTTTTGATGAATAAATACAATTAAAGACCAAATGTTGATATGCTTGCACAATAAGTACCTACTATGATAATTTGACACTAATAACTGATATAATATCAAGAATAAAGCTCACTTTTCTCTGTTCGTCAAGTAATTTCTCTTGACGTTCCATTTCTTTCTTCATGACAAATTTATTAATACCATTTTCCGTTTCCAGGACTGATGTTTGGCCTGTCGACATTAAGAGCGCCTACAAAAAAAATTTGTAAAGACGTTTAAAAAACTATGTATATCATAAAAAATATTGCCAGTGAATGATAGTAGAATTATCTTCAAACTAGGTAAGACATCATTTTAATTTTTAACGCGGATCCTTAGCTAATTAATTTTTAACGTCTTTAATGTAATTGATTTCCGCAAAGTAACATACGAGGGCGACACTGGGTGTTTTAGAACTGGCCACTTGAAAACGATTAAAACAATAGAAAATTTTAAAAAAATGGTAAAATTTTTAAATTCTAAAGGGATCAACTCCTTATTGCTGCGAAATTTTCACCAAGATCCATTGGAGAACTTTTTTGGAGCAATCCGAGCTCATGGCTATAGTAATATAATGCCTACGTCATCTGCATTTGAAGGAGCATTTAAAACATTGTTAATAAACAATATAACATCTTCACATTCAGTTGGATCAAACTGTGAAAAAGATGACAGTGTTTGTCTCCAGTCCCTGAAATGTTTTTTAATAAATCCTAAAGACAACAACACAGCAACAGAATGTGAGGATGAAGTAGACTACGCTCATTTGTATATAGACCCTATAAACACAGATGCACTATTAGCAAGTAAAACTCCAATGGATATAGAAAAATGCGCAGCAATAGGTTATTGCAGTGGCTGGATAGCACAACTTGCCAAGAAACATGTGTTTAAAAACTGTATTACTTGCAGGCATGATTTGGAAGCAGAAGATTTATTAAATTTTCATAAATTTATAAAAATGATTGAATATAAAAATAAAAAGTGGTTGTGCTATCCAACTAGGGCATTGTTTGATTTCTTTGCCCAAGTTGAACACATTTCCATAGAAATATTAAAAGACAGGGCAAAAAATTATATCATCATTCATCATTACAGCCCTTCACAATTCCACTGCTGAACATAGGCCTCCCCCAAAGAATGCCACAAAGCACGGTCCTGAGCCACCTGCATCCATCGACTTCCTGCATATCTTACCAGGTCGTCACTCCATCTAGTGGGGGGACGCCCTACACTTCGCCTGCCGGTACGAGGCTGCCACTCGAGAACCTTTCTTCCCCATCGGTTGTCGGTTCTTCGAGCTATATGGCCGGCCCATTGCCACTTCAGCTTACTAATCCGTTGGGCTATGTCGGTCACTCTAGTTCTACTGCGGATATCCTCATTTCTGAGTTTATCACGCAGAGAAACTCCGAGCATAGCCCTCTCCATAGCTCGCTGAGCGACCTTGAGCTTCCTCATCCGGCCAGCAGTGAAGGACCACGTCTCAGTTCCGTATGTCATCACTGGCAACACGCACTGGGTGTACAGTCTCGTTTTCAAGTTTTGAGGTATACCTGACGAGAAGATGTGCCGTAATTTCCCGAACGCTGCCCAACCGAGTTGAATCCGTCGATTGACCTCTCGGTCGAAGTTGGACTTACCTAGTCGGACTATTTGTCCCAAGTAAACATACTCGTCAACAACTTCGAGCTTAGTGTTCCCAACAACTACCGGCATAGGTGTGACATGGACATTAAACATGATCTTTGTTTTGTCCATGTTCATCTTAAGACCTATCCGTTGGGAAACACTATTGAGGTCATTGAGCATAGTGCTTAGGTCCTCCAGCGATTCTGCCATAAGGACTATATCGTCGGCAAATCGAAGGTGAGTGATGTACTCGCCATTGATGTTGATACCGTATCCTTTCCAGTCCAGAAGCTTGAAAACATCTTCCAATGCAGCGGTAAAGAGTTTCGGGGATATGACGTCACCCTGTCTTACACCTCTCTGCAATTGGATAGGTTTCGTACTCTGGTTCTGTACTCGGATAAATTATATATCTAAATATATTAAATTGATTATGACGGTTAACTTAAATTTTAACTTTTTAACATGTTTATTACACAAAAATGATTTAACTGATTATTTAATTAATAAATCCACATTTTTTTATAAACAATTGGTGCAAAGATGTAAGCAATGTCCTCACTGGAAAAATAACCTTTTGGGATGTAAATGACCCTATGAAGGAAAAAGCTCACAGACACTACTCTAAAATTAAAGGGAGAAAGAGGATAAGACAAAATAATGTCTCTGTAATAAATTCTACAAGATTAAATCTCTAAAAAGTATAAACTGCATTTTATTCTATGATTCCCTGTTACATTTCAATCATCTATGTAGCTAAAATTGGGAATTTGTTACTTTGGTGAATTTAGTGTCGAATGTATAAGGCCAGTATTTATCACTTGTTAGTGACCTTTTTACAAATTTTCTAGTACTTTCGACATTAATTTCGCTAATGTACCAAATTACCAGTAGCTCTACTAAAAGCATATGAAAACAGCTTGTGCATATATATATATATGTATATACGTATTAGTTTAGGGTATCTGACAACTAGATGGCGCTTCGTGTTGTTGATTAAAAAAAAGTGAGAGCTGCCTGTCTATTCCCTATATAACATTGTAGTCTTTGGACCGAACTGTGCTTGCACTTGTGCGAATGTTATAGGCATAGTACAATTAACTTACAGTAGGTGGCGCGCGTGTCGTACCGATAAATTTATTTGAAACTTGTAATATATCATTCAACTTAAATGAATGTATTATCATTCCCAATTAAACAATATTAAAACGATATTTCCGTAATTATTGCTTCTGCGGCTGCAACGCGCCGGGTACCAGCTAGTCAAAGATAAAAATTAATTTAAAAAAAGAGAACCACAATTTAGCGTATTTTTCTTGTAAACGCCGCACAATTACTCACGAGTTTTACAATATAATTTCATTATTTGTATTAATAGTGGTGCCCTTAATCATTCTGTTTCTATTATTAAGTTTATTTGTAGGTAACTGCCAATTTTTTTATTAGTATGTATATAAGTATATATTATGTAGAAAGACTTAGATTAATTAACTTTATGAAATACTTTAATGAAAACTAGTTTTTCAGATTCTCGCACAGCATTAATGTTGTCTGGACAGATGGCGCGCTCAAGTCGTTTCCGTAATTAAAGCCTTTTTAGCCAATCGAAACAAGTGATTAAAGCTAAAGCATCAATCTAATAGAATTTGGCAGGTATAGTAACACTAAAACTTCGCTAAAAATAAATATTTTTTTAAGAAAACGCGCTCTGCATCAAGGTACTCGCTCATTCACTCATTTTGCGATGAAAGTAAATAACGTTTTATAACGTAACAATTTATTAATAAGTAATAACATAAACTATTGATAAATATATATTTCAGATTTATATCATGCAAACAATTTACATAAGTACAAATTGCGATATTGCCAAACCTGATCTCGCGTTGGACACAGTTTTCGCAATGCGCGTCCGCAACATTGGAGTCCTCTGGCTTCCTTATTTTGCTTGGTCCAGCTGAGAACAAATCAATAAGTGTCAAGCCAGATAGAACTTGATGATTTAGACACAATTGATTTTAAATACTATATTATAGTTTCAAAAACTAATCTCTAGTAAATAATTAATTGACAAATTATAAATTTTTGATACTCGTACTTCATGATTTTTAAATTTCATAAGAACATTAACATACATAGTGCTAGCTTTGATATAAATTTTCATGATTTTATAGTTCGTTTAATAAAAATATTGCTCTTTAATTCAAAAGGCATATTTGAATCAATTATGTAATCAAAATATTGTAAAAATATAATTTTTAAACAAGGTTATAATTATAAATAGCATAAATACTAAGCAGGAAATAATATTTTGATGGTGGACTCTTTGCTGGCTAATTAATGAGTGATATGTTTTCGCATGAGAACCTTGCTGATTCTGCTACAAGAAAAAATACAATCATGTAAAAGTTCTGAACAAGAAATTTATTAAGGCAAACATATGGAAAAATATATAAATATCAAGTATTTGTATATTAAGTAATCTAAGATAAAAATTAATTAAATATTCAATAAACACTTAGATACATTACAAGAACAAAATAATTAACAGCGAGACTTTATATTGAAAACCAATTCTATTTTGATTTTTTTTTTGTTAATTGACTTTTTCTAATATTCGCTAGAGCTACATTTTTCTCTGTTTTAAGTTATATCGCTAAGCATTTAGGTAAATAAATTGCTATTAACAAATCATACAAATGAATGGATATATTACAGATTTACTCACCTTCACTAGAATTTGGTGATTTGTGTTTAACTGCACCACTTTTTGATAGTACTAGAGTTGGTAACGGTGGAGGAGGCTTGCTTGCATCAAACTTTAAATCAAATTTACTATAGATTCAGTCTTATGTCCCATATAGAAATAGACATAAATTTGACTATACTTACATAACTGGCAGAGGTGGTGGAGGTTGATCCATTGGAAAAACCATTGGAGTAGTCTGTGGTGGCGGAGGTGGTGCTGAAAAGTAGTTTTAATCTATAAATAATTATTATTTAAAATAAAATTATTTTTTTCTAATTTCATAACTATTTTTTTTAATTGGACATAACTATCAATAACTAATTATTATTAAAAAAAAAAACACTTATATCGCAAGCAACAGGTTGCTTTAACAATATATAATTTCTATGCGCCAAAATTATGACATCAATAATTACAATTATGTATATGATTTATTTGATTTACAAGAAAACTCAGTGTTTTTAATTATTTATTAATTAAAACAACAATATACATTCAAATTATCATCCTTCGAGCAATCAAATTAAGTTAAATATTGGGTTTGCAACTAACAACCCTGCCACTTTTTTCAATAATGGTCTAGAATGTTCTAGAATTTCTTGAAGCAATTTATTTTATTAATAGAGTTGGCTGTCAGATTATTGGATCACTGGACCTCAAGTAGTAAGTTATAGATATTTTCATAAAAATCTAACTGCTCTTATTTGAGAAATTTTGTTTAAGTTGTAAAGTAACTGAAGCAGTGCACATTATGTTATATGTGTGTAACAATGGGCAAAGTCATGCTATCTTGACCACCAAACATTGGGTTCAGGAGCCTA